CAGTAGGACTTCACAGAATCAGGACAGGGATGAGGGAGAATGATTGGTATCAGCTTCTCCTACCTCCCACTTGTATGTGACAGTCAGGGAAGAGATGGCCCAAAACACACAGACAGGCAGCAGCTTCCTCAAGTACTTGGATAAGGATTTCTGAAGCTGAGGTGTGAAAAGGATAAGGCTGACATTTGTCACTACCTCCCTACTCACTTTGGAGCTACTGACCTTGTAAGCTCCTTTATTCCGAGGCCCCGGGAAGCACTCGATGTCATTGCAGTCAGGCTTCTTTCCCTTTCCTCTGCTCCCAAACTTGTAACATGGGAGAAGAAGATTGCTTTTGCTCAGTTCTTGTGGCTTTTTGGATCAGAGAGATCATCACTGCTGCAGACTCTAGGAAGGAATTGCCTTCTAGGCTGTGCCTGTTAGTCCATCAACCCAGAAAAGAAACCTGCAGTGGCCAACTGCAAAGAGCTGATGAGGTCCTGGCTATGTGGCAGAAACGAACCACAGTGGGTTATGAGGACTTGTTAAATGTAATGGAGGTTACGAAATAAACAGGTTTGACAGCTGCTCCCTCCAAATTGGGCTGTTCTCGTCTCAGTTCAAGAATTTTCTGTTTGAGAACATTAAATTGTCTAACGCAACCTAGGCAAAAAGCCTGGGGATGTTTCTAGAAGCATCTTTGATTTAAAAATCTAGATGTCAGTCTGTTAGCTTTCTCATGTGTGTGTTTGCTGTTGGTTTTTAATGATCCCTTGCCATAAATCAAGTCATTCCATTTCTGTAAGTAAATTTCCCTCGGACATCAGAATTGAGAAACAAGTGAAAACACATCATTTTTGCTGATTCTTTCCACTCCACTCATTTGTGGTTCGGGTCTTGGCTATGTATTGAAGATTGTATTATTATTTTTTAATCTAAACTGGTTTTTCCATGGTAGAGAGGATCATTTGTTTTGTGAGTCACTTTAAATAACAGAAACAATTTGGTTATAAAAGCTGAAGAAAAAGGGGCTTAGGGATTCTAAATATTTGATACTGTTCAATAAGTATCTCTACTAAAAATAGGCTTTGTGAAGAAGGGTAGTAACTCATTCTGTAATATTCCTAGTCAACAGCAAAAGCCATGAAGATTTTTTTTCTGAAATGATTAATGGCTGCAAATTTTTGTAATGCTCAGCAGAATCGAAAATTTTAAAAGAGAATATCTTGTACTTCTGCTTGTGAAAACAGCTCTTCCTTTATTCTGTTTGGTTTGCTCCCTTGCCAGCCAGGCTAGAAGAGTGAGCTGCACTGTTGAGCTGTGCTAATGTTGGGAGCCACTTTCATCTCTGCAGTGTCCCAGAGGCTTCATTCCTTATCTGCCATCACCCCTCCATGCAGGGAATGTGTAGGGAGTGCAGGATTGGGCACGAATCTTGTACCCTTTGAAGACACTTTGTCCAAAACAAACACTTAGTTCCAGTAAGTGTAATTTAGTTGATAAATATCCTAACAGTTTTCCGGAGAGGAACTTCTCCTTGTTGTCTCCAATGTACCAAAAGCATTTTTGGTACAGTCCTGATCCTGAAGTCCTTGAATACTGACATGAGGGCAGGTAGGACTGTTTGTGCCAAGCCATCTTAGATGCTTTATTATTAGACTCAAAACTGTTTCCTCAAAAATGTGGCTGCGTTCTAGACTGCTTAGAGACAGAGCCTTTTGTTTAATATTTCATGGGGATGAAAGGGAAGAACAAGACAGATCAAACCAGTGTCCATGGAGATGAAAATGAGCATACTGATGTTTATTATCCTGGTGTGGAAGGCCAGGAGATTTTATTGTTCCTGGAGGTTTTGTGATGGCTTTTGTTGGTGGCATTACTAAGAGTCTTCCCTGTTGTCCGTGTATAAGTAACTCCTTGGGTGTTCTCTATTGATATCTTCATCCTGATTACCTATTCTCAGGCTACAAACTCAAGTCCAAAAGGTAATGAAGTATTTTAGTGAATGTGTGAAGGAGATACAGATTGCAGGAGCTGTGCAACCTCTGTGTGGAGAGGAGAAGCAGCAGCATCACACCCTGAGTGTCTGTTCAGACCTCCTGTGAAGTCTTTGTCTTCAGACATACTCAGTACTGAACAACGTGTAGATGTGAGATTTAAGCATGAACATTTGTCATTGCCAGTTTATATATGTAGCATGTATGCATACATAATTCTCATGAACTTCAGAAATTGCCAATTTAAGGCTCCTAAGTTAAGAAAACACTTGGCCATGTGTTTTGGCCCTGATTTGAAGGGGAGTTAAGCAGGTGTTTTGGTGCTTTGCTCTTTTGGGGAAAGCCATGTATGGTGTGTCGGCCATTGAATGATGCACTGAATGATGTCCTGCTTCCATAGTCAGCTGTCTTTATACTAGGGCAAATGGGGAAGAGTTGGACTTGCAGAGAAATGGAAGGGTCTCCTGCACTGCTGTGGTCTGTGTGCCACAAGGAGCTCTGTAATTCCCTCTGTGCTGTCTGGCTGTTGCATGGGTTGGGTACCTTTGGTGAAGTCACAGAAATTGCTGCATATCTGTGATAGATAAATAAATAAACCACATGAGAAAATCATGATGCACTTTTAAATTTTACAGTGAGGGATAAAACTTTTTCCAGTCACATCTTGATATGTTTATTTCAAGACATGAAATAAGTCATTAAATCCACCTTTATTGCAGTCCTGGTGTTGGCATGTGCTCTGACTTTAGTGGTCTGCAGCGAAACCAAAAGGAACTCCTTTGAGTGGGATTCAGGAAATGTCTCTTTTCCTTCCTCAAGGATCAGATGGAATTGTGTGACCAAACACTGCCATTGCTGGCAGAGTGGCTGTGGTTTGTGGGGGCAAGAATGAGAGACCTGCTCGGAAGGAAGCTTGGGATCTAACTGTGTGCATTACATCTCTCCGGAGATGGAGAGGAGTCAGGATATGGACAGAGTCCAGGGCTGCCCTTGACTTGTCCTGTATAGCCCCTTCTGAATCCAGAAGGAATTATCTACGAGTAAATATAAGGGTGGATGTGCATGAGTGAGTGAGAATGTGGTCACCTGATGTGGGATTCCCGTTGTGAGGTGTTGACTCATCTTTTTATGTATGGAAAGCTATTTTCCAGCCTTTAGAAACTCTGGTTTCAGTTTGGGAAAGCACTGAAGCACTTGTACAAAGTGCTTTATCAAGGAGGGACTTTTTTCACAGTCAAGTTCTGTGTAAACTTGAAATGTCTTTGATTCAGGAAGGGGGAGAGAATGAAGTAGTTTCAGGTGCTACTGTCTGTGTGTAATATCCTGCACATGGAGCCTCTTTTCTGTTGGTCCTTAGGCAATGCCATGATAAAAAACCTAATACAAACACCTTCACTTGGATCCACCTGCTGAGATCTGTAGCTTTACACTCCTTTTCAGTAACTTAGGAAAGAGGGAGCAATTTTTTTGTGCTTTGGCTGCTGCGTTGAGAGAGACATATAAACAGTATGAGCTGCCAAAATGAAGGATACAGTAAAACTGTCCTTATGTTGGGCTCTTGCACGCACAGACAGGTTGGGGAAGGAATGAAAAAAGCCCTTTCCTGCCTTGCCTGCTTTCCTGGATTTAGTATTGCTTCTCCCATGGTTGGCAATGAAATTATTTTTGTTATTCATTATATTAATTTTTCATTATTTTCTTGAGTCAGTGTCCCAGCAACTTCTGAATTACAGGCCTAGTGTGCTAAAAAACTTTGATCTTTTCCTTCCCAGATAACTTGGCTTTATAAATACTCTTTGTTTTCTAACTAAAGGAATTATGGAGCAGGAAAATGCCCAAGTAAATTCAAGGTTTGCTCTTTAACATTGACAGCTGCGGTGCAAGATGGATTTCAGAGCTGCAGTTCTACTTGTGTTAGCAACAAAAAAAATTGCCCTTTTTATTTTTTGTTGTTGTGAGATACAATTGTGTTTGTTTTGGACTTTCTAATCTTGAAAACAGAAGCTGGGTCAAACCGGTTGGCTCTCCCCAGCTCTGCCTCTCTAAGGACTGGAACCAGTTTAGCTGGGGGTAGGTCAGCAGAGTGAAAGGTTTGTTTAAGATGTTTTGCAGTCAGTGTTGTTTCTCCTAACTTGCTCAGCTTTTGTGCTGAGTTTGTGAAGGTAGAACACAGCTCAGCCCTTGATGTACAACTGTTTTGGCTTCAATATAGCCAAGCTATAAATAGGCACCCCTTTGCCTCACCAGCAGTAGGAAATGACTGCAGCAGGTGTTGTCCTCTGCTAGAAATTTGCACATTATTAGTACACAAGTACTTAAAAAAAAATTGGCTTTCTTTTTGTGTGTTCTTCCTGCATTAAATGCCAACTGACTGGTCAGCAAGCATCTCATTAAAACCTGAAACCTTCAGGAAGACAAAAGAAATAAAAGCAGAAAGGTATTTTTGTGCAGCCCCTGTGCAAGGTTTATTTTATGTGCAGTTTAAAAGTATTACCAGAAGGCACAGGAGAGCTGATTAATGCTGGTTGCTGACTGAATTGGTATTTTGACTCTTTTAGCTTTGCCAGACTGAAGTTTAGCTCAGGTTTGTTACAGCAGTTTCTCCATTAGGACTGGTGGATGCTCAAAAGGCTGCAGCAAGATTTGTATCTGTGCTTTTACTGAATTGTCTCTTGCACTGTGGCATCAAGAAAATGAACAGGGTGTTTTGTGTAGCAAGGTGGTGCTCAGAGTAAATAAGGATATTGCAGTCTGTGCCTGTGAAATGGGTTGGATGGTGTCAATAAACAAACTTCTCCTTGCCACAGACCCCATCACTGTGTTTGGATTAACTCTCAGTCCCAGCAAAGAGACAGAGTTGTTTGGGCAGGGAAAATAAATGTGTTTGTGCTGCTGAGATTGTTTCCATTCAGCCACGGTGGAGAGTCTTGGCCTCCTGCCACAGGTGGGTGCTGCAGAAGGAGCAAAATCTAGGGGAGATGTGCTGTGCAAACAGCAAAAGAGAGGGACAACCCTGTGTTTCAGCTCTTGTTTAACACTGTCTGTCTCTACACCCCTTTCTTTCCCCTGCAGATGCGAGAGCTGTGTGGAACTGCTGTTTGTGAGAGGGGCTGGGAACTGCCACGAGTGTGATACCCCCCTGAGGAAGAGCAACTTCAGGGTACAGCTCTTTGAGGATCCTGCTGTGGACAAGGAAGTGGAAATTCGGAAGAAAGTGTTAAAAATGTGAGTGTCTCCCAGTTAAAAGAACGGAAGGTGGATGTGTTTCATGGATCACAACTTGAAAACTGGTTTACTTCTCCAGTAGTACAGAGGAGATAATTATTTTTGTTTATTTATGGTTACAAACTGTAAAACTTGACTCCATTTATCATGGAGAGATTTCAGAGAGTCTGATTTTGTGCAACAACTGAGGACTGAATTCTCAATTTAGCCTTGAGGGATTCCTGCTCAGCATTAGAAAACGTTGGGCGTTTCTGTGTGACCTCCTTTGGCAAAGACTTGGCTCCTAAATGGAGATGATTAGATATTGAGGAGTACAGCTGCTTTCCCTGGGAGGGGGTGAACGTGGCAGCAGGGCAAGAAACAGGACCTTGATTGTTTTGTTCCCTGGGGACCTGTTCTGAGAGTTGAAGGCCAGTTCCCTTCAAAACTGAAATGGGCAAATGAGAGTTCACATTGTTTTTTACTTCACACAGCAATTGTTAGTGGAAATGCTTTCTTGCAAGCCTGGTGTTAGTAGTCTGTCATGCAGATTTAAGGCTCTTGGAATTGAGATAAATGAGTTCTAAGATTGCATCTCGCTCCTTGTGGCCAAGAAACAGCACATTATAAGGAAAATAAGTGAGCCAGTTGATATTTTGATAGGAGAGGGTCTAATGGAACCTAACAAACCTGGAGAGAGTTGTATGTGCAAAAATGAACGTACAGGTACATTGTAAGCTTGGCGGCCTTTATCTAAGGCTCAGTACTATACTCACTGAATCATTGCTGAGATGTGGGGAAACTGCATTGCTGATGTGGAAAGCACTAATAATTTTGATGTTGGATTATAAAGTATACTAAAGTTAACCAAAGTCAAACTGGAGCGAAGTCAACAGAGCTGTCTGAACAAGGAATGAAGTTTAGTTAGAAGAGAAGACGTTGTAAAATGTTTGGCCCACTTGGATTTGCCAGATTAGTTTTTAGGAGGCAGAAAAAAATGCCCCCAGATTGGAATTTGGCCTGAGTTCCTGGGATTAGATTTTCATACTCCTGAGTGTCACGGTCCATGGGGCAGGCAGAATCTTAGCTATAAATTTGCTTGGAAAGAAAGTCTGCATGTCGTGACTTTCAGAGGCTGTCCATTGTTCTAGCCAGTTGTCCCTTCATCTTCCTACTTTTTCCAGCTATGAAAAGGTGAATATGAGTCCTGGAATGGTCTATTGATATGAAGTGAGATAATTGTGTAGCATTTTCAGTTTGCTGCTGACATGTGCTTTCTGTTGTTGGCACAAAGCCAGTCTCCCTTTTCTGATACTTCTAGAAAAGCTTCTTTTTTCTTCTTCTGGTTTTTTTTTTGTTTGTTTTTTTTGTGGGTGTTACTGTTGTCTCTTCCTTTGTTAAGAGGTTGGCTGGGAATGACTATATCTTAGCCTCTGTGCTCATGTTTACCTGTAACCCTGGAAAAGGAATTGGCAAACAGTAGGCAAAGATAGCACTGATTTATACCAGGCTCTCTCCTTCCCTTTGGAATAAGAACTTCTGTCTTCCATTAATGACTCTGTATGTTGGTCAGTTGTGGGAGCCACAGAGCACATAGCTGATAAAACTAGATCAATACTTAATCAGCTTCCAGCAAGAGCCTCGTGGACTTGGAATGGCATCTTTGTTATATAAATACCTGTTTCTCTTCTCTCAAAGATACAATAAAAGAGAGGAAGACTTTCCCACTCTAGATGAATATAATGATTTCCTGGAAGAAATAGAAGAAATTGGTAAGTCCTAATGCTTGCATTTTTGATGTGCTGTGCTCATGAGACCATAGGCTTTTATCTTCTGACTCAGCTGCCTATAAGAATGTCTGAGTTGGGTTTCTGTAACAGGATTTATCAGAGTATCAGATGTTTATCTAATTACTCTTTTTTTCTGTACACTTTTAATCATATTTACTGAACTGTAGGACATGGTTAAGTAAAACATTTTATCTGCCAGAGAAAAAAAAACACAATCCAAAGAGGAAACAGTGCTTTACAGCTGGAAAAGAAAGGCTTGCAGGAAACTGTTGGTGCTGCACTGGCAAAGATTAAACAAAGAGAGGAGAAATTGAAATTTTCATTATATGCCTCCATTAGCTTTATCTACCATGACAGAAGCCATATGGTGTCTTTCATCATTTCTTGCTTCTGCAAGTACAGTAGTTGAAGCTGCTTTGAAGCTGGTGACCTTACATACCACTGTGGTAGCATTTTATGTTGCTGTGCAGAAGGAGAAGGTTTAGGAACAGACATTGATTTCTTTCTCTTTGGATTAGCTGAAGCAGAACTTTGCCCTTTGGAGAAGGGACAATGTTATCAACAGAGTTTATTTTCTTCTTAGTTAGGGTGACTTGTGATTTATGGTGGAGTGATGGATTTTGCTTAAAAAAACAAGGATGTGTTCAAAGGAGTGACTCCTAAGTGGTTTGTTTCTTGGGTTTTATGAGCTTCTGAGGCTTTTCTTTTCTTTTGACCCGGAGGAAGAAGAGGTGACTGAGAGCATGCAGGAGGGGCAGTGGGTGTGATTAGAAGGAAAACATGGAGATACCACTGCCCTCCAGTTTCTCAAAGGAGTCCTTACTCCTCTTTGCACTGTGGTGTTTTGTAGAAATGTGTCCAATGCACTTACTGCTGTGAGTAATGTATCATGTTTTTGTTGGCATCAGAAGGCTGAGGCTAGAGAGCCAAATCGTGTGGCTGGGAAACACCAGTCACACACACACACAGCTCCAAATATCTGGAGGAGATGATGTGGGTGTAGTCCCATTTGTATATTTTTTTGGATGGTATGGGGGAAGGAAGGAATGAGTAGAAAGAATGGTTGCATTTTTGCCAGAGGATCCTGGAACAATCTGTATGCTCCTGGAAAGGAAAACTGCTTTTTATTTATGTAGCATTAAATACAGCTTCCCACTTAGTGCTGTTGCAGGGATTTTCAGCATCTGCAACAAGGAAGTTGAAGTTTAGTCTGATATTGCTTGAACCTTGTGAATTTGTGCAGAATTTTATGATTCTCCAGCTCTTGGGATTAGGTGGTTACATTTCAAATGGTTCCAAAGCCTGCACTGGGAACTTAGTTCAGAAGCAGCAGAAATCTGGCTGGTCTTGGTAACTTTGTGACAAAGAGTGAATTTGCCAGTCGGCCTTGCAAATACCTAATGAAGAAGTTCGATAAAGTTGCTAGGAACTGCAGTTAGTTGCATGAGAGGGACATCTAAAATACTAAAAGGAATAGGAAGTCCAGCTATCTCCTAGTTGCTTCATGTAGCAGCCAGAGTGAGGAGAGCAAAGAAGAGGTGCAGTCAGAAGGCTCTTCATTTTCACTGTCAGAGGGGTCATTTATGATCTGCTAACTCCAGACAGGTCCAGAAGCTGCAGGACAGGTTAGATTCAAGAATAGCAATTCAGGCAAGAGTTCAAGCCCTGTTTTCTCTGCTTGGTGACAAAGCTCATAGCACACATCTTGCTCTCCCCAAGCCCTTCCCTGCTGACAGTTGTCGGGTGTGACAGTGTGACTTCTTCCAGTGCAGCTTGTGAATGGCATGACTGCAGGAGGGGTTGAAGTTGTCTTCAGCTCTGTCTGGTTACTTCACGTTTTACTGCTAAGTAAGAGTAGTTATTTTGTTTTTGTGTGTGTGTGAATTCCCTCCTTGTTTGTGCACATGAAAAACTGAGCTGCAAGATGGGAAAGGAAGGGTGTAGTCATGCAGGACAGTTTTGCCTTGTGGAGCCAATGTACAGCAGGTTGGCAGTAGCTGGTGGTGGTTGTTCAAGCTGCCAGGTTGGGAGATAAAGAACTGGATTTCTCCTCTCTCTCCTTGCCCCAGTCTCTCAGTTTTTCTGTGGGAGGGTCAAAGTTCTGCTTTACCTTTTGGTCTCTTTGCTATAAAGTTTTGTTTCCTGAGTAATTGTGGGGTTTTAAAGGAAGTAATTGCTTAGCAGAGACAAAGTGAAAACCCTGTATGGATATACTTCATGTGACCCTGGCACCATTCTGATAGTTCTTCCAAATATTTGCAGCAGTTGCCCTGTCTCATTCCATGGGTGTGATATATAACCTCACTCAAAACACATTTTCCCCCTGTCCTATCAGGTATGTTATACCTACAGACTTTTTCTATTTAAATAGGGGAGTTGGGTGGTAGAGCAGAACTCTGTGTGTGTGTGTGTGAAGGTCGAACAAACATTAGGGTAGTCACCTTTTAAGATTTCTTTTATAAAAAACACGTTTTTGAAGTGGTTTAGAATGTAGCCACTACATAATGCTTTGGGGCTAAAATGTGTTATACAAGGCTTTAAATAAAAACCACATTTGAAAGCAAATTTTCCCCAGAAGAAAAATCAGTTGGACAATTTGAGAACATTGTAAACACAGTTTGTTGTCATTAACACTAGGAACAAAAGTAAAGAGTTAAAACCTGCCTTTGGGGAGGGTGTGGGCAGCATCTATCTGAGTAAGTCAGGTCTGTGCCCATATGATGAGAGGGGTGAGGGTGTTGCTACAAGTTACAGTCAGTGGACATAGTGCGAATTTTACTTTTTTTATGAGGTTTTCTTCTTCGCCCAAGGTTTCTTCTCCAGGGTGTCTCCATAATCTGTGTGGAAACTCTCCTGAGCAGGACCCACCTCCCAGCATGTGTGTGCACCCTGCCTGGCACCTTCCCTGGTACCCGAGTGAGGCCTCCAGGCATCTCCACAACACAATTGTTAGCAGTAATTATTGCTTTTTAAAAACACTCAGTACATCCAGCTGGGAAGGAGCCTGCTCTGTTTGTGCCCTTTGGATTCCTGTATCTCCTTACTCCTCCAAGGCTTTCTGCAATACCTGCTGCCTAGAGACTTGCTCAGAACACTTATCTCACCAAGTGATCCTGGGATAGGAAGAGTTCTGGTATCTGTGATCACTTGTGGCTTGTGCCGTTTATTGCTTTGTGGTTTGAGTTTTTTCCCCTGTGTGTGTGTGTTCTCAGGGGTGGTGCTGCTGGTCCTGACAAAGGCAATAACCCCACTGGAAATGGGGCAGCTTTATTAAAGATCCATTTCAGTCACATCATCCAAAGATTTTGCACTGTTCGAGCCAAATGGTTGTTCTTACACTGCTGGGGCTGAAAGATTTCAATCAGTTATTACCATCCTAAGGTATTTTTCTGGAGAATTATTGACCCAATAAAAGACAGCTGAGGGTAAACAGAGACAATAATACCTAACATTTCTGGCGTATCTGTGGGTTTTATTTCTGTGATAATTAATTTGTTCTAATCACAGCAATATTGGTTGGAAGGGATCTATTCAAATCTCATTCATCTTTTCTCCCCTTCACCCTCCTCCTACCTCTCTTGAAAGTACAGGGACCAGACACCAAAAGCACCAAGAGAAGGTGCCATAGGAGCCTGGGACTCCCTGGGCAGACTGAGGATGTGGATGTGTCTCCCTTCCTAGTGCTTTGCCCAAAGCAGTTGCTCTTCTCCCATTCCTGGTCTCTAGCTTGGGTTTTATGAAGATGATAATTAAGGTGTTGTTTGGAGAAGGATGGAAGGAATATTGTTTTTAACAAATTAATGCTAATAATTTTTAGTCTGAGCCTAAATCAGGGAGATTTTGATGGGCTTTTAGGAGTTCTGCAAAGGAGTGATGCTCCTGCGTATTACTGTCTCTAGATAAATTATTGTGGCACATAATTGAAATTTTTATCTCATTTTCTCTTTTATAACTAGGAAAATAGTTTCCATTTGTTGTATAATTGCATAATGAATGTTGTTGTTTTGCAAAGCAGTAAAAGTCTCCCTGTAGAGGCTGAATTTCAAAAGTTGGGAGTTTTACCTAAACAGAATGAAATGTTTCAGAAAAACACAATAGTCTTCCTGTTATACTTCAACAGATGTCTCAAGGCAAGTCATTTTATAAACCAACCAATGTGAGATGGATAAGTAGATAAATAATTGTTGCATACAAAACAGCTTCTGTTTCTTTTCCCTGAAGGGTTTCAGGCCTCTTATATCAGCTTATGCTATATTTCAACATGGACAAAAATAAGTCTGTCTTCTCTTTGAAACCTTTTCAAACCAGCCATCTGCTTTGCCACTCATAGTCAGATCTATACCAATATTTTTTCAGTGTAGGTGTAGCCTATGAGTTAGGGATTTTTAACTCTTTCCGGTTGTTCTCATTTCATAAGTTTTTTCTGTGTGTTTTGAAAAGGGAAGAATTAGATTTATAATAAATTTCTGTCAAAACACAAAGCAGACCAGATGAAAAAGTGCTGCGTAGTCCAAGCTATGTAAAAGGATAGATGTTGACTGTTAACAGCTCTGTTCTTTGATTTGATACTTGTTGTTTTTAAGTGCCAAGTAACTTGTGGAGTGGACAAGGGACTAGAGAAAGGAATAAGCTCTTAATGATTTTGGTGGCCTAGTGCCCCTTGCAGAATAGACTTGCCAGCTGTAATTGCAAGGATACAATGGCAAGAATTTGTATTCTATGAATATTGATGGAAGATGTTTGAAACTCATGAAAAATTTATTAGAAAGTATGTTTTGGCTGTGTGGTTGGCCACTGGTAGCCATGGAATGTCAGAGAGTAGAGTTTGGTTTTAGGTGTTAGTTGTAGGAGGAAAGATACTGTTTGCATGTGTTCAAGGGCAGCTGTTGATGGTAGAGTCATCCAGGTCGTAACACTGTTACAACAAAATATAGCTCTTCAGTATTTTCAGTCTTGAAGTGTGGACAAATTTAATGTTGAGGAGCAGGTTCTTAGGGCCAAGATAATGTTCCTCTTCAAAGACTGTGAATCAACACTCTGAGGGACAAGTCTGCTCTGGCCCTTAAGGTGCTGGAAGTTTGAGTCTTTGATTGCAGGTGTCTCACCATACCCTCAAGTGATAAAGGAGTATAAGACTAACAGAGCAGAGTCAGCGTGGTATGAGCAGGTCTGACCGAGAAGGTTGTACCTGTGGTTTGGTTCCAGCCACAGCAGAAAAGCAGAAGGGGAAATAAAGTCTGTCACCTTGCTGCGACCAGAGCTGTGGGCTCTCAGGTGGCTGTGCAGGTGGCTGCTGAAGGTTTCTCAAATGTTGATGCAGAAAGAGATTTCTTACATGGAAATGGTACTTTGTATCAAGTACCAAAATGTAACTGCCTTTGTAAGTAGTTCTTAATAAAGGCAAACATCTGCAGGTGTTGAAAACTTGCCTACTCTACCCTCTATGAGTTTTAATTCTTAAGGTGCCTGTGTTGCAGACCAGATTGTGACTAGTTGAACCTATTAAAGATAACTGAGAAAGGAGTAAAATCCAAACTCTGAACGTTTCAAGCAGCAATAGTTGCAAAGCAGAGATCATCAGCTTATTGCTGGCTTATTTTTAGAGAAATACCCGAGATGTTCAGGAGCCTAAAGGCAGTTTGGCATTGCATCTTGCTCCTCCTCTTGCACCTGAAGGTGGTATCTGGGCATCCTGCTAGCACAGCATGTCTCATATGCTATTTCTTTCTTGTGTCGTCATTGAAGAGTTTAGGGAGCTGCTGTGTGGATTTAAGTTGTAGGAAGTGCTGACATTCCCATGCAGCTGCTGTCATTGCAGAGCTCTGGGCTGACTGTATGCCAGCATTTTCACGTGGCACTTCTCCTCTGCCCTAATACTCAAATATTAAACTGCTTGTCAGTTGGGAACTATACGCTGGAAATTTGGAGGGGGAATCTCTGTTAAAATACTCAAAATTTAGACTAAAATGATGTGTTTTACTAAGCAGAGGTTGCTACAATCAGAAAGTGAATGTTTGTCATGACATGAAATAGGAAACTGTTATGCTTTTTGGAGAGGAAAAAAACAAACCCCAAACATTTGGAATTGATAAGTTGCTTCCACAAACTTTGAGCAGCTTGTTTGGGTCATGGCAGTGCTCAGAGGTTCCACAGGGATAGGTGCTGCATATAGCTGTAGTATGGAGATACAGCAGGTGATGTATAGGAGAAAGGAAGCTTTATTCATAAAACCATAGAATGTCAAGGGGTTGGAAGGGACCTTAAAGATCATCCAGTCCCAACCCCCTGCCCTGGGCAGGGACACCTCCCACCAGAGCAGGTTGCTTAAGGCTTAATCCAACCTGGCTGTGAACACTGCCAGGGTTGGGGCAGCCACAGCCTCCCTGGGCAACCTGTGCCAGTGTCTCACCACCCTCACAGGAAAAAAGGGACATAATCTTCCAGATATAATCTGAGATGTGTGCTGTCCTGAGGAGGCAGCAACAGACTTTGTGCCTCTTCCTTCTGCTCCTCTCTGGCAGTGCCTCACTGGTGCAAATGACTTGGCAGTGGTGCATGTGCCCAGGGTTCGTTTGGTCCTGGTCACCTGGGAGGCTGGGGAGAGAGAACTGAACCAACATCTGCCTAGTCCTTGTGCTGGTGTTTACACCAGAACCTCCTTCAGTTCCTCAGGGTTTGACTTGGTGCAGTCACTACACTGTTGTTTCCTTGGCAAAGGATTTACCAACAGCAGTGCAAATTTCTCTGCTGCTCTTGTGGCCACGTGACAAAGCTCTTGGAGGCTTTGAGTGCTGTATGTTGGCAGTCTTCAGTAGCTTTATGGCCATGGGCATGAGCCCAGCATCCACTCTGGATGGTGATCACCAAGTGACTTCCCAGTGATAACGACTTTCAGTTGGAATTCACTTGACCCACAACTGAACCAGTGACCCAGAGGTGAAAGGCTCAGGCATTGTATCAAATTACTAATCATCCAAACCATCTACATCTTTCAAGCTGTTGATTATAGAAACTGTTCAATTTCTTGAGGTATTTTCTGTGCCATGTGTAGATAATTGGGAATGTTGTGCTAAACTGTGGAGCTTTCTGGCCAACCCTGCTTGATCATAATTACATGAGAGAGAGTCTGTCACCATTGGGAGACATCAAAAGAATGTCAGTTAACCTATTAATCTGGAAGCATCTGCAGATTCCTCCTAATAAAGGTAATTGTGCATTGGTGCTTTTTATCAAGCAATGCGAATTTTTTTGTGTACCTGAGAATTCAAACATTCCCTGTAGTCTTTGTGCATTAGATAATCTTAGGAAGTGGAATGACTTCATTTCTAACCTTGTCTTAAGATGTGTTTGGTCTAATTGAATTTTTCAGGAATCACTGCCTTCTTAGCTGTAACTGCTGCTTGAAAAGGTCAATGTTTTATGCATAATATGATGATTATTCATGTGTTTCATTATCACTGTCACAGAATAGGATGTGAGACTCAAATGTTAATCTCCTACAGATGTGCAAACCAAAAGGAATTCTGCTGGCTTCTGTTGAGGTTTGCAATGACTTAGCAGATTGTGTCTGTCTTTGCAGAGCATGTTTAAATAAATTCTGTTATTGCAGTGTTTATATCTGGTGCTAGAAGGGATACAGAGCACAAGAGTAGCATTGCTTTGTTATAGTCATGCATGCTGACCTAATACTTTCGCTTTCTGTCTCTCTCATATTTATTCAGTATTTAACTTGACCAACAATATGGACTTGGAGAACACCAAAAAGAAAATGGAGCTGTACCAGAAGGATAACAAAGAAGTCATTCAGAAGAATAAGCTAAAACTGGTTAGTTAACTTCTCTTCCCTACGATTTTTATTCATTAGTGAAAGAATTAAAGGATTTGTGAAGTTCTGTAGTGTCACAAATCAAAGCTGATAGCACTACACAGTTTTATCTTTAAAAACCATAACACACTAATATTCTGTGATACCAGTATCTAGTGTTGTGTAAAGAGATTAGATTGATAGTTGAAATGTAGTTATGCTTTATCTTGGGAAGGGCTTGACAAGAGGGGCAGGCAGTAAAGTCTGTGTCTAATACATCACCACTGCCTGTGTGCTGGCAGTGTCTTTGGACAATATCCAGGAGAGATGAAGTTCATTCCTATACCAGGACAATCGTTCCTTTCTCATCTGAAGGAAAAAAGGAATCCAGACACAGACATTATGAAGCTCCCAGGAGAGAGCTGTAAAATTGAGGGAAAGCACAGGTCTGGTTTATGCAAAATCCAAAATGAAGGATGTTGAAACAAACATTAAAACTTTTGTTCAAGAGCTGATAACAATAACATCAGGAGTATTGTGTATATGATCTGTATGCAAAACACATGGTCCTTTGAAGAATCATTCAGTAAAATGTGGCTCTGATATCATTTAGCTCTTTAAAAATAAACTTGCAGGCATTTATTCCTGTAAGAAAAGCTTAATCTGTTAAATATTTTTTCAGTATAAAAATACACACTGTTATCAGTTCTTGAAGGAAAATGTCTGCCCAGAGTGTGACATAACAGGGTTTTGTGTTTGTATTCCAGTTGCACTAAGGACTTGCTTTCAAATCAGTAGGGGTGAAATCCTCACTCCCCTGAAGTCTGTGGCAAAACTCCTAGTGGTTTCTTTAGCTCTAGGATTTCACAGGAGGAGATTGGAATCTGAAAAATGTTTGTTTGAACCTCTTCCTTTTAAAGGCAAGGAAATTTCCCTAGGGGTCCATCTCTGATCTGTTATCCTGTCTCTAACACTGTGCAATATCCTTTGCTTCAGAGCTTGAAGAGACCTGCCAAATCTTTGACTACATGTCTTATTTTACCATGTAGTTGCAACCTCTTGGGTCACTGTGAGAGCAGTGTGCTTTGCCTGCAGCTCCCCTTCCCTTGGTGGGAGCAGCTCAGGCAACCTGTGCACGAGCTGTGTGACCCTATGGAGCAGCACAGCAATCCCTGGACCCACCCAAGCCCTCAGGGCCCTCTGTTTTCTGTGCTGTCCAGTCCTGCTGTGCTAGACACTGTCTGCTGGAAGCTGGGCAAGCCTGTGAGAATCCAGACTCGCTGGAGATCTGGAGACATTTCGCTTTCATTTCTTTTTCAACAATTGAACCATAATAATGGACTTGACACGGTTGTATTACAAAATCTGCATCATCTTGCCCATAAATTTACCCTTCTTCCAAAAGCTTAAGGGGTACTTTCCCTCTCTAGCTCGTCTTGGCAGGTTTTGGAATGTCTTTACTTCACAAATGGTAAAAGGTGTCCTAATTTCTTGTCTAAATTTCTTCTGGCCAGTCATTGTCCCTTCATTCTTGGACTGACATAATATTTTTTGCCCACTGTAATAGTTTGTTTCTGAGGCATATAGGTATTTTCTGTCCCTGTTGGTGTCTTTGTTACCCTTTGCCTGTTCCAGTTTGATTTTGTGTGTGGCAAACAGAAGGGACCAGAATTGAGTGCAGTATTGTAGCTGAGACTTTGATGCTTCTTGTAAAGTAACACTGATTTCCCATCTCTGCTGGCAATACATCAGGTGATCCTGACAGTTTCTTCTCATGCAGCACTGTCATATGGGAGGTTCACAATCATAGTTGTCAAGCAGTGCCTCATGTTTTCTCCTCTGTGGTTTCTAACTCTCATGTCCCCAAATCTGTGGCCTTTTTAATTTATTTTGGTCTCACTTGTGCTACTTTGGTCCCCACAAGTGTGTCATTCTTGCAAATCACAATATGAAGTTGCTGACCCAGTGTCCTCAGGATTTGAAAAACTGCTTGTTCTCCTGGCAGTGCAAGACATGTTTGTCATCTTTGTAGCCAGTTCCTAATGACTTAGCTGTTCTTGTACTAACCTGCTTATTAGATCAGTAGACTTGATGCAGGACTATGCAGAGAGAAACATTTAAATAGACAGATTTAGAAAAAATTGAGAAGATCTTGGTGTTCTTATCATTAGAGATTGATTTTTTTATATCTAGATATTTATATACCCTTTTTATTTATATAAAGCTTTGCACTCTGAGTGGATTACAGCTGTCCCAGTGTGCCTTCTTTCTTAAATACCTGCAGTTCTCCAGTCACAGGGTAACTTGTTATTTCCTACTTTGTCACTAGATGTTTAATTTCTCTTGCTGCTTGGTGCAATCTTGAAATAGTTTTGTCTGAATTCTGTGATATGAATGTGTTTGTTTTCTTGATTGTCCTTCCCTGAATGTGGTGAAACATAATTACACTTTCTATTTACTTCTTCCCCTTTTCTTGACTTTACTCCAGGCTTTGCCATCAGCATCTTTCTCTTCAGATATTGGGGCTGTGTTTAGGTTATCTTTAGGCCTGGCATAACACTCTCTGCCTGTTGAACTCATCTCTCTCCTGTTTTACTCATCTGTTTGGTCTTCCTTTCAGAAAGAATTTGATCTGACCTGTGTTAATTCTTCTGTAGTCTGATCTGGTTTAGGTTTGTATATCAGTTTGCTGATTTCTGACTATAATTTTTCTGGGCTGGTTCTTCAGACAAGGTCTGTCAGCACTTCCCTGCAGGTTTTCTTCTGTTTCAGTGCAAATTCCAGGCAGTTTAGACATAAATGTGGAAGAGCCTTGGAATGCCATAAAGACCCTGAACTCTTCAGTTCAGTTGACTGAACTAAATCCCTTAATTCTTAGAAATAACCTCAGTTAGCAACTTGAAGGTTTTCTTATTTGTTTTTGCCTTTCATTAAGTGCAAAGAGAAGCCAGTTCCACATGGTCACTGGTTGGTGACAGCTTTTCCCAGTGTCACTGCTAGTTACAAATGAGAGCAGCTCCTGTTGGCTTGGTGGCAGGTGATGGGATCTGTGGCTCTTGCACTCAGGAGTAGCTGAGCCTCACTGGGACCCCTTGGCCTGATCTGCCTATCGAGGGATATTTTTCAGCATGTTGTGGCCTATATCAGGTAGCTGTGCTTTTTGATATAACTTTATGGTTAGAACAAACTTCACTAAGCTCTTGGCCGCAGTGACGTTTTGCTGAAACTGCTTTCATCCATAAATCATCATTTAGGTTTTATAAAACTTTAATTATCTCTGTGTTTTTACAGCATCTCCCGTTGCTTTAGTATTTTTGCTGGGGAAGATTTGGAAAATGTTTTCTATGTTTTCTCCTGTACCTTCTTACAAGCAAAGTGATGCTCTTTAGATTCCCACTTCTGTACTAATTTGTTTAATCCTTTTGTTTCCCTCTGTCTCTGAGCTGCCTTCTGCTTTTTTCTTTCACTGTGATTTTCAAATACAGAGAACTTAGTAGTTTGCAGGTTTAAAAAGACTTCTTGAAGTAAATTCTTAACAAAAACGAGTCATTTTGTACTGGTAGATGCTTTTTCTTATCTCATGTCAGACAACTGCAATCCAGGTTATATGAGAAACTTATTTTGTGAGCATGTGACATTTTTAGAGTTCATGTTTGAGTATTGATTACTTTATGAGCTTCTCTATTAATATTCCCAGATTTGTAATTTCTTGTTTTTCTTCTACACCACTGCTAAGCACGCAGTGTGCTTTGCACACAAGGTGCAGCTGACAAAGAGAGTAGTCAGGAACAGTATTGTGACCTTGTATTTTTGGTCACCCTACTTATATCACTTGAGCTGTAGGATCTGTGGGAGCCAAGATGGATTCACTTTAGAGTGAAGGGGTAAGGAAAACCCTTTGTCATTCTCTAACATCCAAAGAATCAGATCCACACTGCAGAGAGCATCAAGCTGGAAATGTTGACTTCACACTGGACAGTAAGAGGAGATAGAAGAGTATCAATAATTAACTTAAAATTCTGGCTAAAATTCTACTTTAAAAGGTGGAATTTGGCTGCTTTCCTCTTGCTTGGTCCTTTGGCAGGCAGTGGAGCTGTGGGCCAGCTCTGTCCACCCAAGGAGGAAGGTTGCTATGAGTCCATTTCTGATTTCCCTTTCAGACTCGGGAGCAGGAGGAGCTGGAAGAAGCCTTGGAGGTAGAGCGACAGGAAAGCGAGCAAAGGCGACTGTTCATACAGAAAGAAGAACAGCTACAACAGATGATGAAAAGGAAGAACAAACAGGCACTCCTGGATGATCTGGTGAGTAACAAAACCAGAGGCTTTGAATGCTCTGTAGCAGTGCATTGACATTTATCTCTATTGTGGTTAACTGTGTGGGATTAACACATCTGCCCCAGGTTCCCTGACGTTCATGTTTTGTGTTACCATTCTCTCACCTGGTACTCATTTCAATGTTCCAAGCAGCTCTGGTTTTGTTCAGCTCAGGGCTGGAGCAAGAGTGCTTCTGGGATTTGTAGACTCAATTAGGCTCTACCAGTGTTGGCTTGTTAAGCAGTTCTGAGTATAGGTTGATAATATGGTGTGTTGAAGTGAAATGGTTGTCAGGAGCTAATTCATGAGCTCAGCCACCTCTGCAGTGGAAACAGTGGAGAGCAGGGGACACTAACCTCAAGACTTACTCAAGCACTGGTCAACCCTCTGAGTCAGAGCACCTAAGTGTTAGGTGGTCACTTTGTATTCAGAAACTACTGTAAGGAAACTATTTCTTACCTTGGGTGTGTCATGTTCTCTTACTGCAGACTTCTCATGTGCAAGTTGCTCCTTTTGAAGTGCACAAAGCTTGGATTCATTTGAGGGGAGTATAGACAAATGGAGAAAAACTCAGGCTACTCCTGGAAATTGTGTTACTCTTGGCTGAATTTACTACTGATTCTGCATCTGAAATGCAATGATGTGTGGCCATGGAGAAGCTCAATAAATCTATTATTTAAACAAGATTCACATCTCAGTATTTTGAATTCAAGTGTGTGTACAGACATGCACACACAAATTCACATGCTCTAACACCCATGAGGACAGTCTGTGTATAACCCTGAAGGAAAGCAGAAAGAAAGGAGGACATGTGCATGTATACATGTGTTCAGCTGTCTTAAAGCTGCTTGGCATGTTTAAGTCATATTTCCTCTCTTACTTCAGTGCATCTCACACTCATAGAGCCTTAATTCCTGCTTTGCATTCTCAGTTCTTATTCAAGATACAGATACTTTTTCTGAAAAAGTAGAGTTTCTCTTTGAACCAGTGCAGAAGACACTGACATGAAGAGAGAGGATTGAAGTGTAATTTAGGAGTTACAGTGCCTCCTGAACAACTGCCTTTTTCCAAGGCAGGAGTCCTGGCAACCTGTCATTGGATTTCCTGGAAGGAGCTAGTGTTTTGTTTTTGTAGACAAAACCAGAGCTGAGCAGAAAGGTTTTCTGAGAACACCAAGTCTGGAACTTTGCATCCAGCAGTCTCTTTTCACTTTAAAGGTAAATGTGCTTACAGTCATAGAATAGAATCATAGAATCAACTGGGTTGGAAAAGACCTCAAAAATCATCCAGTCCAACCCTACCGTGGTCACCAGACCATGGCACTGAGTGCCACATCCAGTCTCAGCTTGAAAACCTCCAGGGGTGGTGAATCCACTACCTCCCTAGGCAGCACATTCCAATGCCTGATTACTCTCTCCATAAAAAAATCTCTTCCTAATATCCAACCTAAACCTCCCCTGGCAGAGCTTGAGTCTGTGCCCTCTTGTCCAACTGCTGGTTGCCTGGGAGAAGAGACCAACTCCCACCTGACTCCAACCTCCTGTCAGGGAGTTGTAGAGGGTGATAAGGTCTCCCCTGAGCCTCCTCTTCTCCAGGCTGAACACCCCCAGCTCCCTCAGCCTCTCCTCATGGCACTTGTGCTCGAGTCCCTTCACCAGCCTTGTTGCTCTTCTCTGGACTTGCTCCAGCACCTCAATGCCCCTCCTGAGCTGAGGGGCCCAGAACTGAGCACAGGATTCAAGGTGTATCAAGGTGTATTCAAGTCCACACAACTAGGAATAATTTGAGTAGTGGATCAATTAATAAAAACTCCACTATGAATTCAAATTCTGTTTCTCAGAATGTGGATTTTGAGCTAGTTTCTGTCTTACTTAAATCCTGTTCTGAAACACACTCTTAGCTGACTAGAGACCAGTGGTGGTGTGTATTTGATTGTTCTATTATTACTATTTTTAACAGAGCAGTTTGTTTTACTGGAAATCTTTACCAGATGCCTTGCAGAAGGAATGGTTATAAGTAATCCTTAAAACACAACCTAAATAGGTAGTTAGAACTGTGAATGCATATGGATTGCTATTAAAATATATCTTAATATTCTAGAACCAACAGAAAGGTGATTTTTAAAGGCTGAGGAAGGAAACTGGGCAGTTTTGAGCTGTGCCTCTGTTTCTGAAGGGGCACTATCAACTTCAATTTGAGCCAAAACTTGTTTTGTAATACTAAAGGTTTATAAAACCAGCACTGAAGTGTTTGTGTAATGACTTACAAAGTCTCTGGAAAACCAGCAGTTGTTAAACAAATAAACATTTCCTATGGTCTCTGAAATCCTTCTAATGCTGTGCTGCAAATCCAAACCCGAAGCTGATCATAAGTAAAACTGAGTTGAGAAGTGCAGCAGAAGCCAAGCGTAAGCAGTGGCAGTGTAAAGAATTACCTTTAAAACAATAATCTTATATTCATGGTTACTGGTTCTGAGCTAAACCAACAAGGATTAATTTCTGGCTACAGCAATATCAGTGGCCAAACCTCTGACTCAGCAAGATTGTGACTGCAGGGGAAGGTGGGAAGCTGACATTCACTCTTGGTTTTGGATTCTGTCTTTCTGGATAGATCACCTGGTGTGGGCAACCCGCAGCCCAGACCTACTGGGTCTCAGTAATTGTTTTTTCTCAAGGTTGTCTCTGCCACTGGGCAGCAAGAGGAAAGGTGTGACAGATTTTTTGTGTGGTGCAGGTTGAGATACTTGGTCTTTCCTCTTCCAAGAGAAGAATTTCACCTTTGGTGCTGAAATCCCAAGAAATTGTGAATCTCCTAGAACCACAGAATGGTTTGGGCTGAAAGGGACCTGAAAGATCATCTGGGTCCAACTCCCTGACATGGGCAGGGACACCTTGCACTAGACCAGGTTGCTCCAAACTCCATCTGGCCTAGCCTTGAGCACTTCCAGGGATGGGGCAGCCACAGCTTCTCTGGGCAACCTGTGCCAGTGCCTCACCACCCTCACAGGAAAGAATTATTTTTTCCTTTTGTCTTATCCAAATCTACTCTCTGTCAGTGTAAAGCCATTCCCCCTTGTCCTGTCACTACATGTTCTTGTAAATAGTCTCTCTCCATCTTTCTTGTAGGCTCCTTCAGCTACTAGAAGGCCAGAATTAGGTCACCCTGAAGCCTTCTCTTTTCCAGGCTGAACAATCCCAATTCTCTCAGCCTTTTCTCACAGGAAAGGTGCTCCAGCCCTCTAACCATCTTGGTGTGGTCCAAGGTGTTAAATGTGTTATGGTATCTTGTCAAGTAAAGATCTCAGTGGTTTGCAAAAGTGTCTGAGAATACTGTCCCATCTCCAAAGAGCTTATGATTTACATAGTTCAGAGGCAGGGAAAAAGGCATGGAGATGTTTGGTGTCTAAAATGTTGTGCAGCAGGCTCTAGTTCCTGGGGAACCAACCTGGGGGGTGCAGTGGCTCATGCAGTAAGGACTGGAGCTGGGGCCAAGGCTCCATGAGCCCATCCTTGGCTGGGAACAGGGAGGGGAAGGTCAGTGTCACATGGTGGAGAGGTGAGCAAGGCATTGTAGAGGCTCAGGTTTTGTAGGTCAGTGGAAGAGCAGTTAGGTCCTTTACCTGTTTTGCTTCCCACTACTAAATTAAGCAGATTTTATATTACCTTCACAGTAAGTGGCCTTCTTTACAATAAAACCTCTCACTTGAAGAGACAGCACCTTGTTGTAATTTAGACTTGTAGTCTCAAATGCATTTTAGCTATTATTGTAAGAGTTGTGTGTGTTTTGCTTTGGGTTGTTTGGTTTTTTTTTTTTAAACCTTTTAGTCTTGGATAATCCAGGCCAAGTAAAATATTAAAGCAATATTTTTTTTTTTGGCTATGTAAACTCTCTCACCTGTATACAGAGGACTCTAGATCTGCTCTTAGATGTCTTGTGTGTTGTGGGATTTGCACTGTCCTTGTCAAGAGCTCATACTTCCCAGGCTTAAACAAAAGGGATTGCAGCACATGGCAGAGAGGCAGGTTTTCCCTGGGCTGTGGCATAGCTTGGAGTCAAGCAAAAGACATCAAGTGGCCACACTTTTACCAGAACCTCAGGGATTTTGAGACAAATCTTTCAGAAATTGATGTACGTAACTACCTCTGCTTATACTGCGCTCTGTTTTGCCATAGAGAAAATTGCTGGTATAGATAAATGCTTACAGGATTGGAACTTTCACGTGTGTTAATAGTTAACAGAAGGGCTCTGTGCATATTCAGGACAAACAGTCAGGATGTGGTGGCTTGCTGGCACGGTGTGGGTTTCCCACAGTTGTGTAATCTGGTTACTGGTCATTGTGAGAACTCTTGAGAAGTTGGTAAAGAATTGGCTTCCTTGAGTTCCTTTATTAGAAATGCAGTGAGTGTTTAAGGGATATGAGAGGACAAAGTCAATCAGAGAATGCTTCCCACTCTTCCCTAATGTAACAAGGGAGCTGGAGAGGGACTCTGTTAGGAACTGCAGTGATAGGACAAGGGGTAATGGGTTCAAACTGAAGGAGGGAAAGTGTAGGTTTGGTGTGAGAAAAAGTTTTTTCCTGTGAGGGTGGTGAGACACTGGCACAGGTTGCCCAGGGAGGCTGTGGCTGCCCTGACCCTGGCAGCATTCAAGGCCAGGTTGGATAAAGCCTTGAGCAACCTGATCTAGGGAGGAGGTGTCCCTGCCCAGGGCAGGGGGTTGGGACTGCATGATCTGTAAGGTCCATTCCAACCCTTAAATTCTATTATATTAAATCTGATGATTAAAAGAATTCAATGCCCTTAACTTCTGGTGACAGCTGGCAGCACATGGTGGTTAGAGACCTACAACACTAGGAAGAAGCAGACTCTAAACTGGTGCATTTTTGGTCCAAGTTTTCTCCCAGTTATACAGAAATTAGATGTCTCTTATTACAAGTTAGGTTCTGAGCATCTTCCCTCCCCTCCTCCCAGTTAATCACAGAAATATGAACAGGATCTTGTGCCTTAGTTGTTGTATTTGCGACTCTGGACCAGATCTTACCATGTGAGGTTTTTCTGCTTTTAATTTGCATTCTGGTCGTAACACACGGGGAGTGTAACAAAAAGTAGAGAGGAAAGAGGGCTGAAGAGTGATGTGAAAAGTCACTGTAAAACTTGACTTCTTCATGATCACTTGAGAAGATTTCTCTAGGATACCATGCAAACAGCATCTCATGGCATTAAAAATGTCCAACTCTTTACCTTGAACTGACTATGTGAAAAATCACAGTCCAGTTAATGAAGTTTGTTTGGTTTTATGAGGAACAAATATGGTTCATGGTTCAGTATTTACTTGGTCCTTTGAAACAGAAGTATGTATGATGTGTGAGGGCCATGGGAATCAAATACTGTGCTAGAGCAGTCTGGGAAGAATCAGTCTGAACTTCTTCCCTGCTCTCAACATTATGGTAATTCTAGCTAGGAGTGCTCAAGGATTTCTGTGACATGTGGACAGTCACGTTAGTTTGTAAGAAAACTACTTGTCCAATAATTTCCTGACTCTCTCAAGAATGGAGTTACATATATGTATGCTAATAATCATTCTGTCCTGAGAGTTTAATTAGTTCATTTGCTTAACTATTGGTTTTACTACTTTCTATATATTCTTTTCAAAAAAAATTGGCTGGCTTCCCTAAAAATAAGTTGCTGAAGGAGAAAATAAATATGCTGTTGGTTGCAGTTACAATAGTGCCATTGTGCAAGGCAGAGCAAGGATCATTTCCAAACGGCCTCAGGTGAAATCTAATGGGAAACAATTTCAAACTGGGCTGAGTTCATTGGTAGAAAGAATGTGTCTTAGATAAACATCTGATCCAAGTTATACTGCTTGGTATTATTCCTTCTCTGATTAAGTTCTAATTTCTTTCTTTATTTTAATAAATATAGTTGCATTGGCCAGTTGGAATAAGGAGCCTGTTACAGCATCTTTAATGTGGATTCTATAAAAATGGTTGTTTGCAGGTTGCTCTGATTTATGGGGTTGCAGCAGCTTTTTATTATTACTGAAAATGATGGTTTTCTGTAAGCTGTTCCTTAGAGAGAGGATACTTGGCATTGCTGTGCTGGCGATGGCCCTGCAGACACAGCTTGCTGTTTTGAAGAATATGCAGTGTTAATTGATATTTGTTTTGGTTTAGCATTCAGATTTGTTCCTCATATGTTTACAGGAGAGCTCGGATCTTCCTGCTTCGCTGCTTTTAGCTCAGCATAAGGACAGATCCACTCAGCTAGAAATGCAACTGGAAAAACCCAAACCTGTCAAACCAGTCACATTTTCCACTGGCATCAAAATGGTAAGACTTAATTGTTTCTTTATTTAATGCCTTTCAAAAGACCAAGGATTTCCTCATATGAAATTCAGGAGTTATTTAAACTTGCACGTTTTATGGAGTAGGCTGTTCTTTACCAATTAAATAACTCATTAGGAATTATTAGAAGCATTTCATCATTCTGCTAGGTGGAATATATGAAACATTCCATTGTGCAGCTGTCAAAAAACAAGCTCTACCTCTTTCTCTGCAAAGCTGTGGGGTCCTTGAATTATTTCTGCTATTTGTATGCCAACTCTGGAGGCTGAAATTTTGGAAGTTAGGGAATAGGCTGCACTTTCTTCAGATTTACTTTAAGCAGTGGAGAAATCTGTAAGTATGAAACTGACAGTCTAGCCAATGATGCCAAGGTTAAGAACACTATTTTCATTGTTGTTTGGCTCTAGGAAGCAACAAGTATTTTAGCAGCTGTGTCACTGCTGCAGTGGCAGCTAAAGATCTGTTCTGTATCATGGCATGGTACAAGTACACATCGACCTGTGTGTGTGAATGGGGGAAGGTTAAAGGTGGGAGCAATGAGTTACTGATCTTGTCTGCACCTTCTTGGCTTTCTGTTTTGTGTTGTTTTAAACTTCTGCACTTTTTTTTAGACTTTTCATTTAGACCTGATAGTGGTAAATGATGTTTTAAAAATAACCAACATTCTCTACCCTCCTCACCAACCAAGAAGCTAAAACCTTTGCATCAAACTAGTTTCCCATCAGTGATCAATTGTTTTTGCCAGGAATAATTGTGCTATATTCATTATCTGTTGAAGTGTTCTGTGTTGAAGCATTTGAAGTTTATTTTTCTAAAAGCTGTGGCAGCTTTTACAAAGCTGTTGCTGATTTGTTTTCTTATTTTCCTGTGGTATAAACTGTATCTTCTAATTTCTATTGAAGTTTGAGAGTCTGGGGGAGATAGACACAGTTACTGAGATATTTTCTGTTCGTGAAGAAGAGCCAATGGACAGAAAATGTTGTTCTGTTTACAAAATAATCCTGACTTGAATGCTTCTACTCTTTCTTGCTATTACTTTAATATTTAATTGTCAGAATTTCTTAAAGCTGTAGCCTTTATTCTGGGAAGGGGAAGAAGATAAGCTTATGTTATATGATGAGGACAAGTAGAAGTACTTTCCAATGCATTTATAAATGGATATTAAATGAAGTATATTTGAGATCTTCAGCCCTAAGTAAACTTCATCCAGAAATGGTGAAAGACTTGGGTGAGGAGATTTCTAGCAGCATGATGTTCAAATCTTAACGTTTGGGGTAGTAGAGGATATGCCAGATAACAGACTGTTACTTTATCAGTGTTCAGATTATGTGAATAAATGATAAATTTTATTTGGTCAATCCCAGAAAACAAAAAATACCTCACCCTGACTTGTTTTAGGCCTAAAATAAAAAGAACAATTTAACTGTACTTAGCTCTATTCATGTTTCCTAATGATAAAGTTAATGATAGTTTTTGGAGTTGGTGACTGTGATTGATGGAAACTGGATTGCATCAAACAAAAACTTGACCCTGATAAAATTAGTTTTGTTGAGAAGGGGGAATGTTTCCATATTTTGTCTACAAGGTGCTTGATTTAGTTAATTTTGTGACATTGATTAATAGATATACATAGAAATTTAATGGCACAATAATAACAGCATTGAGATTCTGCACAATAAATGAATCAACTGGCTAAATTGTCATTTTTCAGGTAGTTGATTCCACAGCATGGGAACGTGTCTGTGGGTGTTGAGCTCAGTACTTGGAAGCAGATGCTGAATTTCTGTGGATGAGATGCAGATTGGCAGTTTACAGAGCCCCTTTGACAAGCAATGGCCTCGTTGAATGAAATGTGCTTTAGTAGGGCTAAATGCAAAATTATAAATAGAAGAGTAAATAACAGGCTCTGTGAAGAGGATTTGGAAGTTTAGCTAAGCAAATAAAGCAGTTTGGAAGTTTTGGATTTAGAAGTTTAGCTAAGCAAGTAAACTGGTTTGACCCTCTGCCACAGCATGTGTTGGGGTAGCCTTGGGTATGTGAATAGTCCAGCAATAAACTTCTCCTCCTGAATGCAGTATTGGGAAGAGTCATGGGCTAGAGAGTTCTGCCAACTGGTTTTGAGTGAAAAAAAAAAAAAAAAAAAAGAGAAGGCTAAGATATGACTCAATTTACAGTAAGTACCTCCTTCAAACAGAACATGCCAAATCTGAGCAGTGCAGCAGTAAATGTAGCAAGAACCAGTAACCTTAGGTAAACAAATACCATCTAAATAGGAACTGGAGGAATGAATAAGACCTGAGGTTCACAATGTTCCACCGGTTAATTGGCCTCACTGTTAAAATTGACTCTAGAGTGCAAAAAAATCTCTAATTCTTGATGTTTTCAGATTAGGATTGGGCTGGGTCTCGGAAAGTTACTGTGGTCAAATGCGAATTGCTGTGCTCAGAGCAGAGTTGGTTGTGTACAAAGCAATACTGTACATGATCTGGTGTGGTGATGATCCATGGCAGCATATTACAGTGACAGCAGAAGGTGAACTCCTACCTGGGCACTCACCTTATGATATGATTCTTTTCCAGGCTGAGTGTTTTTCTAAAAGCCTGAGATGCTCAGTCCTCTTGCCTTGCGTAGGTGTATACTTGAAGGAGGTGGAGCTTTTGCTGTGCTCTTTACAGTTGCTTTGGCTTTGTTCCTCTCCAAACCCAAGGGCTCACACCACTGGGATTGCTGGGGGCAGCTCTGGGGAATACTGAGAATTTCTTAAAAAATACCATGCTAATTAACGTTCTGTTTTGCTCAGCAGTTCTGCAAATTCAGTATATTTCTGGGAAAAGTCTGTTTTGTGCTCACTCAGAGTTTGAGCAGTGAACGTTTAATGAGTCACTTTGTACATTCTTCCCCTGAACTTTTTTTTTTTTTCCCCAGCAGTTTGGCCACTTAGCTTTTTCTGGTGGGTGTTTTCCTTAATTTTGTTTCAAAAGAAGGGAATCCAGCTAGAGCTGGCTGAGATGCTGGCTAATCCCGAGCTGGTGTTTGCACAAAGGCTATAAAAATATGCCAGTTGTGGCAATCCACTGGGGTTTTTTTCAGCTTGAACATGAGTGTTTTTCCTGGGAAGGCCTTGGTCAGAGATGTCCTTCTGCCTGAGTGCTAATCAGACATGTTTCTCGGTGTGTGAATTAGGAGACATGCCCGTTCTAGTCTCGGGGCAGTGCTCAAGGAAGTTGGCTCATTTAAGGTGTCATGTTAGTGCTGTGATTCCTCTGCTTGCAGGGGGAGGAGGGAATGTCTTTCCCTTGTAAGCTAAGCAAGAGCATCCCCTATAGCACGAGACAGACAATTAGCTCATGGGGACAGGGTCCCCTTCACTTTTCTCTTGTTAAATTGTTAAATTGTCTTTTTTTTTGCCTTCTTTCAAATGGAAGCTGTTTATTCTCTGTAGTCTGATCTTTAACTTTCTCAGTGAATTCTGTCTTCTGTGCACAAAGCAAAACTTGCAAATCAGTGTGTGATTCCCCTCTGTGAGTGGAGGAAGTGCTTCAGAGTTTTCTCCTCATCATGCTCATCACATTAAGAAATATGCTTTCAGCATATGTGAATATTGAAAACAGTGTTATTAAATCTAATCTCGAGTCTCTGTAAAGCTACAAAAGAAACCGTAGCAATCTTAATTGTTGCAGTAGTGCTAAAAAAGCCATTTCCTGTCAATTCTGGTACTTGGGGTTTTAGTAGCTGCCAAAAAGAGCAAAGGTTGTCAGAAATAAGTGATGTTTCTAGGGGTTATCAGAGGGTGCAAAACAAATCTAAGGTCTGGCAAGAGAATTTTCTTCTCCTCTGTGCTGAATGTAGTGACCATTTCTGGTTGGGAGGAAGCTCCTTTGAAAAGAGGTGCTTGTATGTATTGCACACAAACGGCAGTTTCCAAATGCAGCAGCAATTTTGTTACAGCAATTTAGTTTTCTTTTTGTCCCGGGAGTTCACAGGACTGTAGGAGCCTTTTGGTGCTGGTAGAACTGTGCTTTGCATCACCACTGTGGTTACAAATGCATAGAAGTGTGGATGTAGTTATCTCCTCTTTAATTCACTGAGCTGGGAACTTGCAGCCTTTGTGTGTGTGGCCCAGCTAGTTCCATGAAAAATCTGAATGCCTTAGGCTCGTGCTCTCTCCAGCACATTTCAGGCTGCATTCTCTGTCCTTTTTCTGTGCCTTCCAGTTCTGTTTTGTTTCTTTGCTCCCTTCCTCCCAGGACACTTCAATCTTTAGTGATGGTATTCCTGAAGTTAATCTCATGTAGTTAAGATCTCAATTTCCTCTAATTGGCTTTCCCAGATATGCAGGAAAACAGCATAGGTGTCCTTTGGCCTATTTCCACTTGGGACAGTTTGCCTTTTTACATTTTATACCCAAATACCTCAGAATTAATACAATTGCATCATTGACCTTTCAACTTCTATCACCATTTTTGTTTTATTACCTAATAGGAGTGGGAGTATTTATTAATAGAAGTATTAGTACATGCTTGGTCATTACCAAGATGGTCTTTACCCCTCTGAATTTGCAGTTTAAATAGATGTGTCGGGGAGGGAGGGGAACCAGATGCCCCGAGGGGATGTACTGCCCAGGATTAGACACCAGAGCAGCGGCGGAAGAAGGAATAGGATCCAGCCCTACTAAATTCCTAACCTCATGGCTCTTCCGCTGAGCTGGGCTCCATCTCCTGTCAACAGCACCCCTGAATGGCAGCGAATTAAGAGTGAAATATCTGCTTCAGCCACTGCTTCTCTGTCCAAATCACAGCAGCCATGTTAAATATAACATTGTGGGTCGGGATATTGCCCGGATTTATTCCAGTTCTTGCACTTTCAGGTTATTAGTAGCTGAGTGCAAGCTGGAGCAGCCAGAGCTTGCAGGGAGGGAGCAGTGCTAAGAATCAGTATTTCAGAGGAATGGATTTGTGTCAGACACAGGATGTCTAGGACACCTC